GCTGGTGGTTGTTGCTTTTTTTTTTAATAGGAAGCACAGAAAACAGGGCGTTCAGCTCCTAGCGTTTCTCCCAGCCCACTTTGCAGCAAGCGAGGGGAAAAAATATTTTTTTAAGGCAATTGCTTGGCTTTTTTTTGCCTTTTTTTCCTTTTTTTCCTTTTTTTTTTGCCTTTTTCCCCATTTTTTTCCTCTTTTTTGCCTTTTTTTGGTTTCTTGGGTCTCTTCCTACAGTGGCCATGGATGCATCTCCTCGGAGGGGCTGTGTTTACCCAAGTGGCACCGTGTTTGTCACTGGGGCTGGCTTGCTCCAGTGTGTAAATATGTGGTGGGAGCCACGTGACCGCACCAGCAAACACCCTCTTGCTGGCTGTCAGCACTGGGTCCGTTTCTTCTCCCTCCCCAGCAGCTCCCGGCTCCCTCCTGCCTAAGCGGAGCTGAAGCCTCCCGCCTGCTGCTCCCCAAGAGCTGCCTTGGGGTTGAGCCCAAACCTCCGGCTGTTTTGGGGTTAAGAAGGAGCTCTGTAGTTCCCGCCCTGGGCTGCCTGCTGGGGCCGAAGGCAGAATCTGTCCCTGCTGTCCCATTCCCGTGGAGCTGCAGGAGAAATGTCCGCTCCCCCTGTGTTACGAGTGGGGAAACTGAGGCATGGCTCCGTGCTGGCTTTTAGCCATCAATGGCAGTGGGAGCAGACCAAACCCACAGGGGAGGATTTTCCTGCTGGATCCCAAATCTTTTTAAACCAACATTTTTGTGCCTTTTGGGGTGAGGGCGGTCGCCATGGCAGAGACATGGGATCTTGCACCCACTCTCAGCTTGGCGCTTTGCCCATGCTACGTGGGGTGCTGCATGGGCAAGCACCATTACAGCAGCATCACTGAGGTAGAGCATCGGCGGAGCAGGGAAGAGGGCACCCAGCCCCAGCATAAAGGCAGGGAAACTGTGGCACGGAACCGAGACGAGACCTGCAGCCGCTCACCGAAATGCCCGTGCTGGCACTCCCCACCTGCCCGGGCATCCTGGCCGTACGCCCGGAGTGCAAAGGAGGGGGAAGGCAGCGTCACGGGCTGGGAAGCCGAGCCAAATCTCAGCCCAGTGATAATGTTTAACATTGATTTTTGTATTCCCCTGCCTCTGGCCTGGCAGGACTTTGGTACGTGCAGAGCCAATGGCTCCTGCAGCCATAGCCTCCTCGCCGCGGGGCCATCCTGCATCCGCCCGTCCCCTCCATCCCGACCCGTCTCCGAGGCTCAGACCTGCCTGGGGGGCTCAGAAGCAGGAAGAGCCTCCAAATAAAGGGTGTTTTGGAGGGATGGAGGCACCCTGAATTCAGGGTTTCTTTGGCTGGGAGCAGGCCCCTGCGGGTGCTTTGCTGCGGCCGGGCACCATGCGAAGCTGCGTCCCGCATCCCAGCCCTCTGCGCAGGCTCGTCCCCTGCCGTGGTTGCAGAAGAGCCCCGAAAACACCGGATCCGCCTGTTACCTCCCCTCAGCCCCTGGCTGCCGCTTCCTGTGCGGAGGGCACGAATGAACAGGAAAATCAAACTGACTGCAAAAAGCGGGGCTGGGGCAGCGATTCCCCACCACGATAGCTTGTCGGCACGAAAGGAACCTGATGGAGGAGTCCCCAGGCACCCCTGCGCTGCACCCGTGTCCGACCCTGAGATGGGAACAGGGCTTGGGGGAGCGCGGTGCAATGCCCGGGTCCCAAATTGTCCCGTAAATGTGGGCTTTGGGTTACAGCCCCAAAACCCTGGGGAGGGCCCCCGCCAGCCCCAACCTCCTGCATGGAGCATCCCTGGCCATGGGGCTGGGTCTTTCCAGCCCAGTGCTCCCCAGACCTGCCAGCATCCCCGTGCAGGGCTGGGCTGGCTGCAGGCAGGTCTCACCCCGCTCCTGCCCCATCTTTCTAACGGCGGTGGAAAATGTCGTGGCGGCACCAGTTTGAGGCCGCTGGGGAGCCCCACGCCGCCTGCCCCGTAGCACCATAAACCCAGCTCCAGCCTCTGAACTGGGAAGACTGTCTCGAAACCAGTCCGACTAGAATAACTGGGAAGGCAACTGTGGTTTCTTTTCAGGAAAAAAGAGATCTTGAAAAAGAACTGAAACTGTTTTCATTTGGACAAAAATATTCCTAGACATTTTTCCACGTTTTGCCAGCGTGCAAGAGCATTTGCTTTTCATTTTTCAATGGAAACCCAGAGAAATGTAATTGAAAATGATGTTTTCCCTGAAAAAAAAAAAAAAAAAGGCAATTACTGCTGAAAATCCATTTTGGTAAAAACAAAGCGACTTGGTGAAAGAAAACCCTTCCAAAACCGGGCCCGGCCTGTGCTGACATGGTTCCCCCGAGCTCTTGTCCTGCCCGAGCCACGCTGGGGCACGCGGTGCCGCATGTCGCGGGCTGGTTGGCGGGTGCCGGTGGTGCTTGATCCCTCGGGACCGGCAGCGGCCGGCGTGACGCACGGCCCCAGCCCCTCGCCCTCCGCCGGGAGCCAGGGACGGCCCTGACAGCGGGTGCGGGGTGCAGCCAGGCATCTCTGCCGCGTCCCCGCCGCGTCCCCGCCGCGTCCCCCGCCGCCTGCCTGCATTTTGGAGAGGGGTGTGAAGCAAACATGAGACGGCCTCAAACACTCGGTCCCATGGTGCTTTTTGGAATAGTGATAATTAAATTCAGACTTTTTTCCTTTCAAAATGCCCTGGAAAAATCCAATCACTTTGCAAATCAAAATAAGCATTTCCAATTAATCCTCTAACTCGAACCACATGGCTTTTAGGGAACGTGGTTGCACTCTGCTGAGACGCTATTTTTAAACCGGTGACGGCTCTGGCGATGTTCTGAGCGTGCTGCAGGCAGGCGCGGCGTGGCTGAGGCGGCCGGGAGCTGCCAGGCACAGGCGCTGCCAGAGCGGGACTTGGGGGCACGTCGTCCCCGTCCCCGCAGGTGTGAAGGCGCTGCCCCGCTGCCAGCGTGAGGGAGGGTGACAACTCTTGCCGATGGCCCCGGTGGCTGCAGGGACATGGGTTGAAGCTTCCTGAGTTCGGCTTTCCACCGCCGATGTGGTGGCGGTGACCCCCTTCTCCTCCCCGTGGCAAAGGGGTCCCAAAGCCAGCACTCCCCAAACACCTCCCCTGGGGGCTGAGGCTGCACAAACTCATCACAGGCAGGGGTGGCCGGCTGGGCGCGTGGTCCGTGGGGCCGGACGCTGGGGCTGTGCCAGGGCCAAGGGTGGTCAGGGGCGGTGTGAGAGCAGCGCCAGTGTCACAGGGGGAGGACAAGAACATTAAACCCTCCCCCCGAGACACCCTCCTGGTTTTACTGCAGCGATCCTGCCAGCGGGTGAAAATCCCCGGCCCCGCTTGCGAGGCCCGGAGCACCTGGCACGGCTCCCAGTCATGCCAGTGGGAGGAACTGGTGGCACTGCAGGGCCACCTCCTCACCTCCCTTCTCCCTGGGGACAAGAGCCTCGAGGTGCCCCGTGGTGGGCGAGGGCACCCAGCTAAGTGATGGGGCCAGCTCCTGCCTCTCGGTCCTTGTCCCACTCCCCCCCCCGCCCCGACGGTGGCATTTCCAGGGCCCCTCCGCGGCGGTGCCAAGGCGGTGCTGAGCGATGCCAGCTGCCACCCGCTGAGCCCAGGGGGTTATTTTTAGCCCTGGCTGGGGATTTGGGTGCTAAGCAGCCGGCACCTCGCAAGCTGATTTGAGTGCTAAGCTGCAAAGCTGGGGATGTGGCCAAGGCAGGCGCGGATCCGGCCCCCACCTGCCCCCGGCGTTGGGAGAAATGGTACCTGAGCCCTCCCGGGGAGGGGGGTGCTGGGAGATCGTGAGCTGTTGTGGGGTGCCATCCCCCCTCCCGCCGCCTGCATCCGTCACCCCACGCCCCCGTGCCCACGGATGCCGAGGGGCAGCGCCGCCGGGGGGGAGTGGGGGTGCTGGCCCCCCTCCAGGTCGCGGGGGCTGGCGCTGGGAGAAACCGCCATCGGCAGGGCGAGGCGGGAGCGGAAGCCGTGCACCCCAGCCAAAGTCAACTCAGCCATCGCTGTTCCCAGGCTCTGTGCGCTGACGGGCGCCCCAGTGCCTGGGGCCTGTGCAAGTGGGGTGCTACCCACCCCCCTCCCAGTCTTTCTCTTCCTCACACGTGTGCTCCTGCATGAGTTTTTCCTCCTGGACTGCTTTGGGAGCAGCCAGGAGTCGGCAGCATCCCCTTTCCCCAGGGGCTGGAGCTGTGGTGGGGCCGAGGCTGGGTTTGGCACCGTTTTGGGCACCGAGCTGGCACCTGGAGCTGGGGGATACAGGGATGCTTGGGGCCCGTTTCACCCCACTGCAGGGGCTGGAGCACTCACGTCACCGGTGGAGGGAGAAATGAGGGTGCTGGGCTCCTCTGGGAGCTGCAGCGAAGGAAGGGCAGCTGAGCCAGACACTGGAGCGCTGAGAGTGCCCGGCCTCAGCCCAAGGTGCTCCAAACTTCATGCTGTGTCCGCCCAGACAGCTCCTCCCAACCAGCATCCCAGCCTCGCCACCTTCATCACCTCCTTCCTGTGCCCTGTGCTCCTGTCTCGGCCATCCCCTGTCCCCCACGCTGTCCCCACTGGGGTCCCTGATGGCCAGGCTGCTGGTGGGGAAGAAGCTGTTCTCCTGGGGACACCGGGCACGGTGGCAGGCTGGGAGCGGCACATGGCACGGCGAGGCGAGTGGCAAAGGGGACGACCTTGGCCGGTTCCCCTGTCACCCCCCGCCGGCTGCAGGGTGGTGCCCGCCGCTCGCAAACGCCCTGTGGCTGCCCTGCCACGCCAGCTGGCAGCCAGCCCTGCCTGGCACCCGCTCCCTGCCCGTTCCTGCCTGCACACGCCGCCGGCGGGGCCCTCGCCCAAGCCCCAGCGCGCTCAGCACCCGCCTCCGCCCTGCGCCAAAAAGCCCAGCCTGACCCTTCTCCTCGCCGCAACTTTGCCGACGATGGCGCAGACGCCGAGTCTGGCCCCGCGTGGAAACGGTTCGCTCTTACGCCGATGACTGATTTATCACCCGTAGCTGGGCTCACGGCACCTAACACCGTGTTGAGGACGGGCAGCACGGAGCCAGCCGGCACCGCTACCGGCTCCTCTTCCCCTCCCGAGAAAGCCGGCAGCGTCTCCGGCTGCGCCCGGGCCGGTGGGTGTTTGGCAGACGGGCGCGGAGGCGGCTTTCGGCGCTGTACCTGTGCCAAGCAGGCGGCTCCAAAACACTGCTGGTGCCGGCGGTGCGTAACTGGACCCCACTGGTGCCTGTGGCTGATGGGGGGTGATAGCGGGTACCAGCCCTGGCACTGCCCCAGCTCTGGGGGAGAAGGGCCATTCCCTGGGGCCGCCAGGGGCAGAGTTAAGGGTATTTTGCGGGGCAGAAGGAGGCCGCTGCGCTCGGCTCCCAGCCCTGCAGCATAGGCTTTCCAAGCCGCTCGCCATTCATTTCTGAGCTTATTAAGAGCTGGGCTTTGTCAATAAGGCACCATGTAAAGCACATTGTTGTCTCTTAGCAACCTTAACTGGTTTAAGAAGAATTTTGTTTGGTTTTTTTCGGAATATAGAAGAAACGCACCAGGAAATGGCTGCGCCAGCCGGGTTCATCCGGGAGCACCAGCTCTCCCGCGCGACTCGTCGGCGCAGCACAATGGCTTGGCCCCGGCTCCCCGGCGCCCGGCCCCAGCTCCCGGCGAGCCAGCCCTGCTCCCACTTACAAAATGGGAGCACGGGGAGCAGTGGGAGGCTGAGGGGGGGGGGAAGCAGATCCAGGGATGGGCGATGCTGGAGATGGGGAGGTCACTGGGCCATGCCAGGCTGGCTGGGATGGTCTGGCCCCATCCGGGTAAGGTGCAGGGAGGTGTGGAGGGACGATGTCCATGGCGTGAGGACAGGAGGGAGCCTTGGCCATGCCCCACCGCTCTTGGCTCGGAGTTCCCCCCCCCATGTCCCCAGTCCTGTCTCCCCCGCACAGGAGCTGGTTGAGGTGCCGTGGCCAAGGGCACCGAGCAGGCGGTGGCAGAGTGGATGGAACCCCATGTCCCCCACTCCTGCCCAAGTGGGACCAGGATGGATGGGTACAGGGCTCCCACCACATCCCCACCTGGGCTATACTGGGGTAACCGGGCCCCAGTGTCGCCCTCCCCGTGGTGCTGGAGCCGGTTAATGGCAAACGGCGCCAGGGAGCATTAACCGAAGCAGGCAGGGGGGCGGGGGTATAAACAAGCGCAGAAGGTGAATCTGCAACCGCAGGAAGTCAGTTATTAATTCGAGTGAGACATTTTGCCCCTTGATTTCCTGTAATCGCGCCTTTATGTAACGGCGGGGGAAGGGCGGGCGATGCTGTGGGGAGGGGGCAGCCGGTGGGAGCGGGAGGTAGGGGGTCCTGCATGCCCCCTGCGCCCTTTCGGCGGCTCCCCAAGCCCCACCACGTCAGCCCCCAGAGAGAAGGGTGTCAGGGTGGGAGCCCACTGGCTCAGCGTGCCACCGCCACGCCAGGGTGACATGGGGGACCCCGAGCGCGTCCTGTGCCTTCCCCACGGGAACTGCTCCCCCACCATGCCCAGGCTGGGTCCCAGCGAGCTATTGTCCCCTTGGGGACATGGCTGGGGCCTCGTGTCCTCATATCACCTCCCGGGTCAGGGGACGGGAACTGGCAGAGCCGACTGCCCTCTGCGTGGTGCTGCCGCGCCAATGTGGGTGTGTTTGTGCACGGATGCGCCTGCACACATGGATGTAAGTGCACGTGTGTCCGTGTGGGCACATGCCTGTGCGTGTGAACTCACATGTGTACACGCACGCACATTTGCACGTGTGTGTGCACACATGCGCATCGCCATGTCCCCCCGGCACACGCCACGGGGCACCACCACGCACACGGGTGAAGAACATGGGTCCACACGCAGGCCTGTGGCAGGGGGACACGCGGAGTGCCAGGGCTCACGGCAGCCTTTTGTGCTGGCTGGCGGGCAGCCGGGACCGTGGCGGGCTGGGAGAGGGCCGGGGGATGCACCACTCCCCTGCCTTCAATTGGCTGAGCAGTAAATAAATAAAAGGGAATTAAATAAATAGAGGCGAGTCGGTTTATATAATCGCTGGTACAGTTTGTACTGAACCTCTGCACGGATTAGAGAGCTGGCACTGGCCGTGGGTCATTAGCAGCTGGGCTGAGCCCCCCCAGCGCGGCCACCCAGGCCCCGGCCCCCCGGCCAGCGGCCCCCAGCCTTGCACCCTATTTACCTACCGGGGTACTTTTTAACAAGCAACCTTGGGAAGGGCCGTGCCCGTGTGTGCATGTGTGTGTAAGTGCCTACACGGATGTGTGCGCACGGGCGTGCGCGTGTATGCGCCTCTCTGCAAATGTGCTCAAGTATGTATACGCATGGGAGAACACGCAGGTCGTGCAGGCGCCTGCCTGTGCCCAGGTGTGCCTGAGCATGTTGGTGCGTGCGTGCATGGGATTGTGAGTGTGCGCGCGTGCGTTTTTGTGTGCCTGTGTCCACGCACGTGTGTTTGTGTACATACGTGCACGGGTATGCATACGCGCACGTGCATACATGCGTGTGCCTCTGTGTGTCCACAAATGCGCTTGTGGGCGTGCACGCTTGCGTGTGTGTGCGCACGGGGACGTGCGCGTGCCTGGGAGCGTGCACGTGTGTGTGCGTGCATGTGTATTTGCACATGCGTTTGCGTGGGTGGGAGCATGCCGGCATATGCGTGTGCCTCTGGCGTGTGGTGTGCGTGTGCACACGCGTGTGTGCACCTCTGCACAAGCGTGTGTGTGTGTGTTGGGGCAGGAGGGGTCACCCCCCATCGCCGTGGCACCCAAGGGAGGAGGTGACAGTGTGCCAGGACACACCGGGTGCCAGCAGACCAGGGTCTCCACGTCCCCCCTCACCCCTCCCTCGCCACCCCATCGCCCCA